AGACTGCGCGAATTCTCCGAAGCCTAGTCACTAGTCTCAGAAGCCTCACCATGCAAAGCCGACGGATGGATCGCTTGGCTGTTGCATTGCGTCACTTGAGACTGCTAGACTCGAAAGCCTGCAGCCTACATCCGAAGTCAGCGGCCAGTGGAGGCCATGTGCAGCTCCACGACCATCGCAGTGCAGAAGACCTGCACCGCGATTGCGTCAGCTTCTGGACGAGGGTGCTTTGCAGGTGGCTCGGGTACGGGCGTCCTCCGAAACTCCGGAAAAGACCTCTATCAGAAGCGGCACCCGAATAGTGCCACCAAAAAAAAGCCCAGCAAGCCCATCGGCTCGGCCCCTGGTGCAGGCACCTCGGCTGTATAGCGAAGCTCCTTAAAGCACCGAAGGCGCACGCGCAGCCGCGCCCAGCCGCGCCCAGCCGCGCCTTCGCTGCAGGCACGGCGCTTTTTGGGAATTTCACGCCACCGGCCACGGACTATTCAGTGGTGCAGAAAGGTATGGACGTTTGACGTGTATGCAAGGTGGGACTCGCGGGATAAGATTCTGCAGATTCTGTGGATGTATAAGTGAACGGTGCTGTCTACGATCCGCTGTCGGCGAGGCACGCTGTGCCGCTGTGAGAGATGGGGCCGGACACGGTTTCTCGCCGGGTGCTTGGGGCAGCGGAAAACAACTGTAAAGGAGGTAATTATGGGTGGGGCGCCTTTGGTGCTGTGAACGATTTGGGAAAGCTGTGAGTTAACGAGTCAGGGACGGTGTGTTTGCTGGAAGATGGCAGAAGGATGCAGCGAGTAAGCAGCTACGGCTACTTGCGATGGATTATGATGGTCGTAGCGCTGGATGCTGCAACAGTCACTGATGGACATTCTCCATGATGCTCTGCAGTTCACGCAGTGTGTGTTCCGCACGGGCCGTCACGGGCTCATTTTGCAGAATTTCATCCCTCGCGTGCCCTGCCCCACGTCCTCGCTGTTTGTAGAGTTTTTCAGCTGAGACACTATGGCTTTGGAGCATGTGGCACCGACTCTGGAGGAGCTTGCGATGACCACGGACATCGATGGGTTCAGCTGCATGCCAGGTGTGGAGACAAACCTGGGCGAGCTTTTGACCACAGCTGCTTTGGCAAAGCCCCAAGGCATATGCTTAGAGACGCAGGACGGCTGCTACACTTTTCTTCAGGTGCAGGAGCAAACTTTGAGTTTTCTGAGCAGAGCTGTAGCACCAATACAGCAACTCACGGCACCCTCACGCCTGAATGCTCCAGGTGGCTCAGATGGCAGATGCAATCCGCAAAGTTCTGCGAAAAGCTTTGCAAAGCCTGGAGTTGCCGACATGTGGAGCGATTGACCTCAGCTCACCGGACGCACACACGCGGCGAGCCGATGAGCACGTGGTCTGGGGCTCACAGGGCTTTGGGGTTCGATAATCTCTGCTTTCCCCTCTGTCACCATCCTCGGCACATGTAGCAGGTCAGGGTTTCAATTCTCGTTTGACGGCGTGTTTCACGGGGCTCACATGGCCTCATGACATGGGCTTCGGGTGGCCGAGCTCTTGTGCTCTTGTGCTACGAGGCTTTGTACCCCGATCTTGAGTTCGTTGTACCAAGGTGACCATCGTGCTGGAGCGAGGCGTCCAGAGCATCGCAGCCGTACATGCCGTGCTGCTTGAGGGTTGTGCCTACAACGCCTTCGACGTGGGGGAGCCGGTTGAGAAGCTGCGGAGCTGGGTTGAGGTGTCGCAGCCTCCTATCATGATCTCGAACGAATCGACGATGCGGCGGCTGAACATCACAAACGTGACAGCGACCCTGGGCGGGTTCCCACGCATGGTGCTGGATGTGGACCTTGCTCTGAAAAAGGCAAGCAGCACGGCCCTCCCTCTGCGTCCAGCCCATGCTCCAGAGGACCTGGATAGGCCGGTTGAGTATATGTTCGACGTGGGGTTCTAAAGAAGGGAGTTATAGGGCTCTTTCTTGTGCTCTTTGAAGGTTAGCCTACCTGATCTTCACCAGTGGCTCCACGGGCAA